AAACGTATTTTAGTTGGAATGTAAGTTTAATTATATTATATTTGTGAACCTGTCACCATTTAAGCTAAAACTGAGATAAAAATGCTAAATTCCTCGCGAAATTATAAGACACAAGTAGTTTGAATTTAACGTTTTTAAAAAAAGCAGTCTTCATATTTTTAGATATCTAGTTTCAAATCGTGAATATAAATTAAACTATTCCAGTATACTCCGCATATACGGATATTAAATCTTTACCAATTGAATCGTAAAAACAAATAATATTTACTGAAACGAATATCTGAATCGTGGAATACTCAACAAGATATTTATACCAACATCTTAAATAAGCTTAAAGATGTTTCATTCCGCAAATGCATTTGACAGTTTAAGACAATTTGCTCAAGACGGTCAATACAAAATAAAAGAAGGAAAAGAAATATTTCTTGTCTTGATTTATAAATGTCTAGTAACAGTGTTAAGTTACTAAAAGAGTCCGGTAACAGTCTGGAAAACCGGAGAAGTGTTAAGAAAGCAACAGTTTAAAAGACAATTTCATACTCACGATTATTGTGTTAAAAATGTCTTTTTTTAAACATTTCCGATCTATTTTGGTCATTTCGAGAATTGCGTTTGCCTATGTTAAAAATTTCAAATGGTTTCTTCTGAACTTTGCATTTTCAGTTTCATTTTTAATCTGGTTTCTAAAAATTTTTTTATATGGAGAATGTGAATTTTTGTTGTTGAGCAATAAAAAGTGGTAAACATTTCTACTCAACTAATTTCTACATATAACACCTGTAGAGTCTTTAGGTTATTTTGATGATGGAGATGTGCAAAATGAGCAATGCGCTCGGCGGGACTCGAACCTGGACCTTTCGAATACGCCCTGAGTGTGTTACCGCTACACCACGAAGGCACGCAGAAAAGGAGGGAGAAACCCCTTTTAAAGGGCAAGTGGGAATTAGAGAACCCAATCGCCAAATCCTGGCTATGAAGAATCATGAACCACCACTTTTTTTTTTTAGTTCTACCTTTACACGATTTTAGTGCTACCATTACACCACGAAGGCATGCAGAAAAGAGGGAGAAAATACCTTATAATACCTTAATTAAAGAGATAATGTAGCATTTGTTAAATTTCTTCTTCACTTCTAAAATATTTATATACAAATATAATCTTATTGTAAAACTAAAATAATGTTAAGTATTTTCCTGCAGCAGCTGTTTATTCTCCGCGTTCTAAATACATTTTCTAATTAACTTCCATAAACTGAGGAATATAAGAAGTCAAAAAGTTTCTTACAAAGAAAAATCAAATCGTGGATCATACCCATTAACTATCTTTCCTAATCTAAAACACCGAGGTAAAAAATCTCCAACCAGTGAAAACATCTTGCAATATTTATCAATATCCTGTTCAATTTTACGTTCCAGTTTTCCTTTCTTTTTTCATTTCATCTTTAGTTTATTTTTTTTCCATTTCCTTTTCAGTGTTTTAGAAAACTCCACAGAAACAGATAATACCGTGAATATTTCGGCTCTCAAGTCACCAAATTATTGCTTATTTCTGACTCATATAAATCTTATATATTGCTTTTCTTAAATTTATATGAATACGCTATGTTATACATTTAACAAAACATCTTCGAAATCAAGTTTCTTGTAATTTTATCAAAACTTAAATTTATCGTTTAGATGCCATTAATGCTGTTTATAGCTAAATTCCTTCATTTCCTACTAGCTACCTAAAATTTCCGTCTGGTTAGTTAAGCTTCTCTGCACGCATCTCGGTACTCTCTAGAATCTCGTTAGTCCGATTTCACGCTAAGCGGACTGATTCGCAATCATTTCAACTCTCTTTCTCAGCTCAGTTTAGTAGAGGCTGCTAATAAAAATGAGCAGTTTGCTAGCTTGTAGGGTTCAGGTATGTCAAAGTGCAAAACCTACGAGACTGGAAGCGAGTTATCGCTTAGTGTAGAAAAAAAAATCTAAAAGTCTAAACAAAGTTAAAATAGACTTTTTATTTAAGTCTTAAATGAAGAGAAAGGCAGAGCGTGTGCGACAGACGAACCATCGCTACCTGCGGGTATTTAAATTAACAGAAAGTTAAACTTCAAATGTAGGTAACGGAGTCTCAGACTACACATAAAACTAATTGCTCAAAATAATTAGTGGCGCGTATTTTTAATTGACGACTAGCGAGATGCTCAAGCCTTAAATAAATAGCCTTAGCCTTACGCAGAGCTGGCGTTAATAAGTAACAAAAAGACAAAGTCGCCAAAAGCTCTTATCTAAAAACTGAAACCGTCAGCTTCAAAACATAAACAACTAATTTGCTTTCTGATGAGGACTACCTGAAAGGAGAAGTTTGTAGTGAAGGTTTAAATCATACTAATTGGTTAATTAACATAAAACATTTCATAAACTCACTAGCAGCATATATAATCTAGAAATTAAAATATGAAAAGTTAAAAGAAATCAGTACAAAAATAAGAATCATAGTAAATCCAACTCATAAAAAATTATTACGTATCTAAAATTATCAAAATATTCATCTTTACTAAAGCCATTTTGCTGTGTTTAAAGGAAATGAGTAATTAAACTTCTGGAATTCCAGAAAAAAGTTTTGAATTATTTGTCAGTTAGAGACTCTATAACTGTAGTTATTTGGTAGAACAGTTGAACGTTTTTCCGTGCAAAGTTGTACAAAGAAATAGGAAACATTTATTTGGTAAAAATTCTGAAAGTTTCCCCTGAGTAGAATTGTACAAACCAATGTGACGTGTTCAGTAGGAATTTTTCATTCTAATTCAGTTGTTCCCATCCTTCACTGCAGACTTGTATAAATGAAATGAAGGGTCATTTATTAATAATAGTAGACTACGGCTTTTTACTACGGAAACTACTACTTTTTACTACGGAAACTACTACTTTTTACTACGGAAACAATAGTAACTCAGACACTAACACACTATCATTTAATAGCTGTGTCCAGCTTTTACTTACGAATCGAAGAAATTCACCATTTAGTTTTGACCGAAAGTATGTATGGAATAGTAGCTAAGAGTATGAGTTTCATACTCCTCTTCCCAACCCACAAGATCTTTGGACAGGCATGCAACGAGAAACAAAATAATTTAAAAAAGCGATTGTATTCAACAATAACATAAATATATTTAAATATGTTTTCTAAATACTGTGTTTTCATGTGTGTTTTCCCTCAAAACTTTGGCGGAACTGCACAATTAGTGCAGTGAGACTATATACTACCAATTTTGAAATTGAATTAAGGTATTTTATTTATAAACAAAAGATATTTTATTTATAAACAAAAACTCCAAATATTCTCGTTGCTTCCTGAATATGTAGACAGAAACTTGTAGTTTGATCATGGCCCGCAGTGACAATTTTGAATTCAATTAAGGTTTAACTACGCCATTTTTTTAATTTACGATTATGGTTTGAAGGACTCCTATTATTTGTATGTACACTGGTTCGCAAGCCGGTATAGTGGTTAGCTACGCTGATTGCCAAACCGGTGGGCCCGGGTTCATATCTTGGAGAAGGCATAGATGGGTTGTAAGCGTATAGTGTCTGTGAGAGAAAGGGACACTCAAAATACACCGAGAGCCCAAATTCCTCTCAAGAGATTGGTGGTAGGGAAAGAGGGCTCGCTGGAGTGTTCTCCCTCGAAACTTTATCGAAACTGCGCAGTTAGTGCTGTGGGACTATACTTGTATGACCAATGAGGAATGTTTGTGTGCTACTCATTTCTACCTGAAATAAGTACACTGAAAGTTATGCGATATAGTCTTTGTAAATTTCGTATAAATGCATGCAATATATTTGATAGAAAGAGATCCGTTTCGATATTTGAGAGTTTTTATGCACACAGAATACATATTTTAATAATGCTTGGATACAAACAATAATCCCAAGTACAGCTAAAGACCTATAACTTGTGAATTTTGATAACTTAACTCGAGGACTTTTGCCTTGTCTTGAAATAAATAGTTGCATTTATTTAATAATTTTACGATTATGGTGAAACAAATTAACATTTCTTTCCATTAATACAGATAAATGGTTTTATCTAAATGAAGCTTTAGAACTTTCCTTTATCATTTAAGAAGCATAAATACTTAAACATAGTTGAGGTTTCTTCGCAGTAACTATGTTTTCAGTTTGCATATTCGTATGTTATATCCCGCTTGATCATTTAAATATAGAATGCAATTACCTTGTAGTTTATATTATAAATTCAAAGTTTGCTTTTTTTATCATACATGAAAATAACTTGAAATAAAGATATAGAGCATAACATGCTATCCTAATAAAAACGTCTGATAAAATCACATTAAAAATCGCATAATCTCATACACTAATTACAAGTATTAATACATAAATACGTTTCAACAATATGTGTAAAATTAATTAAAATTCAAGTGTGTGATTATCAATTGTGTTAATTTTCATTTTAATCTTCTTTAAAAAGAACACATGACCTCTGAGATAGTGCAATAATTGAAAGTGCCTTTTAGCAGAAATTTGTGTTTCATGTGTTTCTTACAAGCAGTCATACATTTCTATAATAAGTTAGGAACAGTACTTAGTAACAGCAATAATTTTAAATATACAATTATTTTTTCGGGTTTCAGTAGTTTACATGAAATTTCGAAATGCACACTAAACATGTTAAGGTTTAAATTGCGGTAAAGTTTAGTACTTTCACTAGATTAGTCAATTAATTCTTACATGATCAAGCGATAAAAAAAAAATTCTAGAACAAATTTGTTTTTATTTTGTTATATCTTTGTAGTTAGCGATAACTATTTTGTTATATCTTTGTAGTTGTTAATAAATGTAACCATTTTTTATCTCTCTTTTTCTTATTTGTATATGAATCGCTGTGATTCTAGCACATTTTCCCTTCATTGCTAAAAGACTTGAGAAAGAGAAGTTATAACTGTAATAATGAAACTATTATTTATGATGTAACAAAGTCAAAAATTACTTACTTCAACCGATGTTAAGAATTTTCAAAGAAGACCAGAGCATCATTCGGTTGAGGTCAAGAAAAGCGCCGGACAACACTTCACCTCATTTTCACCGGAAGACTGATCACGGTGACAACATGAGCAGAAGTACTGTACAAGAGTTTTAAGATTTATAGAGCTCAGAATTTACGGAGTAAGTCGTCAGAGTTCGCTGTCCGTTTCTACTAAGAGCTGCTTCTCTATCGACAGGCTCTTTTATGCCATTGTTATTTTTTAGTTTAAGAAAAGATGACCAGAAGAGTTGCGCAGCACTCCTGATTACCAGACGTTCTGAGCCTCTGCTCGCAGATGGCTGGCTCTTTTCGCTGTGGGCGGAAGAGCAAAGCGGGATATGTAAAGACTGCTGCGCACACCGTAAACGACCGTGGCGCCGCCCAGGTTGTGTTCCGGTAAACCGCATTATCACAGCAACAGGTTGTTTCCGAATTTGTGGTTTATCCGGCTTATTTTTTGCCCTCATATTTATCTCGTATCTAAGAGCAAGTAGTCGACGTTGGGCTATTTTACGGGTTACGGGCAATAAAATTAACAGTTCTAACGCGAAAAAATAGTTTGAGTGGTAATAATAGTAACAGATTTTGGTCATTATTTAATTTAACTATTAAATGACAGGGAAAAAAAGTGAATATACAAAATCACTTTTCTTCTTTAAAAACTTTGCAATGATGTAAACCTGAAAACGGAACGATACAATCTAAAATTTTGCCGGCCAAAATATTAAATGAAAAAAAAAAGATGCTTTCGGTGCGGTTGTAATAACTAAAACTGGCTGGGATTCGAACCCTTTCAATCATCCGCAGGCTGTTATTACCAGCTGAGATATCCGGAGGCAGTGATTTTTGGTAACAGTACATCCGTTAAACAGTTCTATATAATTTCTACTTAACTATGGTATTCGAGTGTATTTTTTCTTGAGCTAGCATTTGACAGTATTACGACATTATTACGTTTGGAGCGAGAGTATGTTCCGTTAATTGAAAAGCCCACGGAGGACCTCACCCTTTCATGAATTCTAGTGTAGCTAATTAAGGTCTCGATAAGCTGGTGTCGTTTTGTCTCCGAAAAGAGCTCCTGAATTCGAGTTATTAGCCGGATCATAAATCTTTGTAGAAAATTTCAGTTCTAGTGTTATAAAACCAAGACTGGCTGTGTGAAAAACGTATTCGCCTAAATTTGTAAAACGGCCACAAATACAGAATAAAAAAACCATTTCTTATGGGATATGCCTTTAATTAACAAATCTACAGGTTTTATTTTCAATTCTATAGTATATTTAATTCAATAATGAATGATAACTAAATCTAAAAAATGAACATTGGTTTAGTAATGTTATAACGCTTCCAAAAAATATGTATCCGCATTCATCACGCTGAATCATGTGTTGAATTATCAGAAACAGGTTTGCCTTCATTGGAGTTTAATTGTTGGCCCACAAGTCAGTCTAGAGGTATTTTATTGTTTCTACATGAAAGCATAACCGAAAGAAAAAAAAACAAAAAAAAAAAAAAAAAAACCAGCGCACAATTTATGAAAATCATGTTGCAGAAATTTAAGTCTGGAGATTTAAATTACGTATGATTTCAACTTTTATGTGAATAAATACTATATTATGTTATTTCTTCATACCTACCAGTTTAGTACGTATAAAAAGAAAAAGAAAAATTTGGTTCGTTTGTACTCCATGCACACGCACACAAAGTTATTTTTAAAAACTGTGACATAATTTAAGTTAGGGAATATATTAAGGATTTAATTAGATGCAGCTTGTTAAGTATAAAACAAGAACGTTTTATTTAAAATAATATTAAATTATTTCATCGCCTTTTGTTGATAAATAAATTCAGTTCAATCATTTAGTAAGAAACTTTGATTTTGATTGCAAACTAGGACACACAGTGCACATAAAAGCTGCTTCTGCTAGGTAAAATGTAAATAACTTTAAGCTAACAGAAAATCTTAAAGCAGTCCTAGACGAATTCCCATAAATTATGTAAGATAGGAAAGGAGCTCCCTGTCAAACTACAAAGCACTTACATTAAAAAGATATTCTGTCAATTGCGTAGGGCGAGTTTTATTCTTAGGCATAAAAATATGAATCCGTTCTTAAGCAAAAAAATATCTGAAATAGCTAGGGTGACTTACTCCGTGAGAGCAGTGTATTTGTGGAACAAGGGATTCTCCATTTTAAGCATACTTGGAAGCTCATTTTGTAACAATAACCCTCGACCAAATAAAAAAAAACCTTGGAGAAGTAGAGAGCGTTTACCCTTTGCGGGTCTACCTAGTATGCTAAAGACTTAACTTCCACAGACCACGTTGTCAGGGTCAGAGTTTGAGCCTCATTTTCAAGTTGAGGATATCTGACGAAACTGCCGAGCCGGATGGCTTTCAAGTAAGAGCCCCGGTTCGCAAAACATGAGAGTCAGACTTCTAATCTAAGTCTATGACTTCTAATTATGAATATTATATAATTATGAAAATTAATTTAGAATATGACTTCTAAATCCTTTCTTAACTTCAGAGTTCATTAAACTTCTACATACCGAGAACAATCTGATTTCAAACGATTGTTCGAGAGTCTGGTAATTTAATCTAATCGTCTCTTTCTCTACCTTTGCTTCTTATTCTTTAAGTCACAGAGCAACTTGAATACACTGGTTTCATTCTCTTAACTAAAATTCTAAATATTAATTCTTATTTACTAGTATTACAACTGAATTTTTGATAAAATTAAATTATGTTTCAATTGCATTTATTTATCAAATAACCGTAACACCTAATGAACAATACAGCAGACTTCGTCTGTATACAAAGCCATACTGCTTTTCTTGACACATACAGAGCCCCAAATGCGTAGAAAGCGTACTAGCAATTCAACCCACCGGAAGACCTTCCACCCTGAGCTGCCATAATTTGCACAAACAGCAAATGGAAACTAACTATTATTACAACTACACGAGATATTGTCACCCTTTCTATAAAAACCGAAACCTTACAATTAATAACCACCAGTATTTACATCTCACCATCGGAAGACCCCACCCCGACTCTTGATTTACTCTACCATCGAATTCAGAGCTTCAGTTACTCGCTAATCATCAGTGGAGATTTCAGTTGTCGCAGTACGCATTGGGGTTATTCACAAAGAAAACCAAGAGTTTTGCAACTGGACGAAGTTATCAACTCCAATAATCGAATCTTTCATAATAAACCAACCGACCTTTCAACATTCTACAATATGCGAAACCAAGGCTGGACAGATCTCCTCGTCATTTCACCACATCTAGCAAATAAAATCAAAAAAAGATAAGTTGGAGATGATCACGCCGAATCTGTTCATAAATATTTTACCTTCGACATCAACGAACCGGCAGCAAGCACCATAATCGCCGCCAGATTCAAAATGAACAAAGGGAAGCTAGAAAATGTTTGTACAACATTTCTAAACCAATATGCAGAAGTCATGATACACTCAGTCAAGCATTGCAGGACCAGAACAACAAAACAGAAGAAGTAACAGAAAGAATACAAATCATTTGTGACCAAACATTCAAGAAGAGAACACTAACAGTACTGAGCAGTAAAAAATGGTGGACAAAAGATCTAGGGAGGGGAAAACACTAAAGAAGAGCCTTGCGCAGAAACTTAATTCCACTGAATCAGAAGGTAAAAGGAATACGATTCACCAAACATTCAGAAAACAAAAGGCTAGTTATAAATGGTAAACTATAAAAACGGAATTTAAAGCCGGGCATACATACTGTAACAATAACAAAGATATTTATGGCCCTCTATACAAGATGGCAATGAATAAAATCTTCAAACCTACTGAGCTTCATCTCCTGCACGCAGTAACTCCAACAAACAACAGTAGCATTAATGCCACCCACTAAAACCCTGCAGTATTCTAATTTTGTTTAAACCCTGCAGTATTCTAATTTTGTTTGTTGATTTCTGCAGTCCAGAAGAAGGGAGCTGTCTTTATAGCAAAGGACAACGAAAGCACAATATAAGGAGTGAAGTCAGCCATGCGGGTACAGCAAACAATTCTTTAGAAATTCTTTGTTTTTAATGTAATACTATTAAGTTGAATATGGAAGTGCATGTGCTGTTCTTTTGGTTTAAAAACAGAGCTGCTTTTTTTGTGAGTTCTCGAAATACTACACTGTTGCAATTACACTCTTGTACTCATTTCAAAATGGATGCATGGCAAAATACTGTACAATATATAATGCAATTTATAAATAAGCACTTTAAATAATGCGAAGTACCAAAATACTGGTGCACCAGAACAAGTACATACATATAGCGGTGGGATACGATTATACTAATAAGAGCAATGACTAGGCCACTCCCGAATAATTGATTCCAAGCAGCATCAACAATTTCCATAATGCTTCAAAATACTAAATGTAATGAGCTCAGCCCGTGAACTTTATTTATGAACTTTGGATTGAAAGATCTGAGTTCAGTACAGTCTTTCCTGTAAAACATATTTGCACATAACAAGAATCAGACATTCCAACATTTTAGCAAAATCAAATCACATATAGTTGCCTTTATCTACTCGCATAAAAATGCAAAAGTTCCAGTGAAACGATTTCCAAGATATCTATTATTATTTACGTATTCCAATATCGTAATGCGTATACTCATCAGTTTGTGTTATTTATGTAATTTTGCCCAACTTATGTTATTATCCTCTTATACTTAAATGTAACAAACTCCGACGCATAACTCCAGTGTTCTTAGGAGAAAAAGCGTACAATCAAATTGAATTTTTCAAACTCCAGCAGGTTCGTGTAGTGGGGCAATACTTGTTTAATTCTATTGGGAAGTCTCTGGTTGCCCATGCACTTTTAACTCTTTATCTATCTGTTTAGACTTTTGGGTACAAATTAGACACTATATATTTCAATGTCATATTAGTTTTATGCTTCAATGGAAGTTTGATATATGTGCTTAAAATTGCCATACACAAATCGTTGAATTAAAACAAATACTGGAATTTAATACTACCCGAATAAATGCAAAATGCTAAATTTATAACATTTTTTTTTTGTTTCATTATTTCAGAAAATGAACAAAATATTTGCCTTTTTTTCTTTTGGGGTTTTCTTAATTTGCTTCTATGTATACTAGTTGCAAAGCAAATTTTCAAGCGAATTTTGTTGTCTACATAAATATAACTCAACCTTCTGTAGTGTCAATTTTTTAAAACGCACTTAAATACTTTTTGCCAGCTGACGAAGAATTGGATGTAAAATCAACTTTTTTTAGTAATACTATTTTATTTCAG